ACACTCAGCCCTTTCCTTTGAATTAATATTTTTTTTAAAGATTTTATTTATTTATTTGAGAGAGAGAGAATGAGAGACAGAGAGCACAAGAGGAAAGAGGGTCAGAGGGAGAAACACGCTCCCCGCTGAGCAGGGAGCCCGATATGGGACTCGATCCCGGGACTCCAGGATCATGACCTGAGCCGAAGGCAGTCGCTTAACCAACTGAGCCACCCAGGCGCCCGAATTAATATATTTTTATTAGATATCTTTTTGAGTTTTTATAGTCATTAAAAACCAATGTCTAAATTAACCAAACGTAATGCCAGACCTTTGTATTTCTATCTCACAAAACTTAAACCAAAATTATCCAACTTAATAAAGCCAATTTAATCACACTGATCTCACTAGATATTATAAACATGTTTAGAGAAAGCAAAACATTTAATTTTAACAAAATTAAAATTTTATTTTACAAATACTATTTAATTTTTATCATCATTAAAATTTTTACTATGGGTCTTTTATCATTTAGTGGTAAATGTGTAGGTTTAAGAAATAAATAAATAAACATACATAAATGGGGGCAACATGCTTTAAAAAGCTTTAAGCATAGGGACCACACTCCAATGTGTGGAGACCCCTGCCCATGACAAAACACCACAGGGGGAGCTGTTACTTCTTTGTCTTTGCATCTCTTAGTTATGGCAGCAAGCTTGGCACATATTTCACACTCAATACAGTTTGCTGAATTAAAAAAAAAAAAGGCCACTTCGGAGTGGCATAGAATGAGAATTTTAGAACTAGAAAAATAAACTGAAACCAAACTCCTCATTTTCCAACAAGGAGACAGGTTTAGGAAGGTTAAATCACACAGCTAATGGAAGTATGGTGAAAGAAATGTTTTAGGAAGATTGATCTGACATAGATCTATGGGATGCTTCAGAGGAGAAAAAGACTAGAAGCAACAGTACGTGTTAAGAGACGATTGCAATCATCAAAGCATGCAGTAATGAGAGTGTAAACTGGGATGATGGGAAGGGAATGAGAAGCAGAGGAGGATCTGAAAGACATTGAAAATGCAACCCTTGGCACTGCTTTTTCACTGTCAGTAAGATTTAATCTTGACCTATTTCTACACAAGCTGGTATCAATCATGATGCCCAGATATTTTTACCCATGGCCCCAAACTTCACAAAAAAGGCATAATTAGCAATTCTTTGACTCATCTAGGGCCTCTGAGAGTGATTCATACCCTTCGCTACACAATTATCTACCATAAATATAGTTTAACCTCTGTCTATTCCAAGCAATGGTTCTTTATAATGTCCATCTGTATGCTGCTTGCTCTATTGCTATAGGATTGAGTCCAGTCTCTTTATCTTTTGAGAACCTCCATATTTTTTTCTCCTCCATCTAAGATAATCAATCTTCACATTATTCTGTAATGCAACAGTAAGGAACCTTTCAGAATCAGGATAGCAAGTTTTATTTATCTTCCCTAAACATGCTAAGATCAAAGATTCATTTGAGTTAACTTCATCTTTTGAAATGGACATATAATAAATGTTTTCAAAAAGAAAAGCTAGTTGATTTCTTTTGTTCAAGACCAACAACCCCGAAAAAATCAAACTTTTGGTTGTAGGTAGGAAAGAAAATAATTTAGAAACGCCCAGGGGATAATGGGTAAGAAAGGCCAGGATAAAATCTGGACAGGCAGAAGGCAATCACTGGGAGAGGGTGTCTGACATGCAAAGGAGAAGATCAGGGTGGGGTGCGTGGGGATACCGGAAAAGAGGCATAAACACCCAAAAAGACAAACATGTGTAGAGGGTCAAGAGAGCTGACAGTTATTCCACATGTTGGCGGAAATACTGCATGACCCCCTTGTGGCCCTGAAGCCACTCAAGGCCAGACCTAAACAGTTCTTCTGCTCCAAGCCATGCAAACACACACCATATCTAGTTTTCTCCTATGCTTTCAACCCTACTATTCCTCCAGCCTTTGAGGATCCTACCTATCCAAACCTTTCTCACTTTCCAAGTTCCAGATCAAGTCTCCTCTCTTCCCTAGTTGCCCTTCTGACTGCTCTAGTCAACCACACTCCTCCTCCTCTGTATAACAGTTAAATGCCATCTTGCATTGTTTTGAATTCAGGCCTGGCCTCCAGGAAATGTGAAATCCCTTGAGAATAGTTTTTCTGTCATGTAACTTATGTTCCTCCTACAGAAAAGGAGCACAGAGTAAGGGAATTAAGAATGATATTTTGGAACTACCAGTGTTTCTATTCTGCTTTTCTCCAATTATCATTTAAAACAGCATAGATCTTATAGTTTTAGAAGCAGTTCCTTATTTGGGAATTGGTTTATAAACTACATAGTTGAAAATACATCCCAGCCAAGGATGTATATTTTTCTCTAAGCTGATAATGAAGAAATGAACAAAGCCGGAGCCTAAAAAGACCATTATAGTCAATGCACTTAGACAAATGTCAGCAGCTGCCAGGGAAGATTTCATACTTAGAATGGTTAGTTGGCTAGAGATTGGTTCTATTATAAGAATTCATTTCCTCTGCAAAAGAAAAGTTTGAATACATTAAATCTTAATGAGAGTTCTACAGGCCTGGGCACATAATGGGAAAAAAAAAACAAAACCAAAAACCAAAACCAAAACCAAAAAACCTAATTACAAAGCAGTTTTCGAAGTACATTCAAAGATTTTCAGCAAAATAATTTAAAATGAGGTTTTTGTCTTAAAAAATAAACTACATGTATTTCTGTATGTTTGATACTCAAAGAATGGAAATAGGCACACAAGTTTCATTTGTGCCATCTTTTTTTTTTTTTTACTTATTCATACATTCACTCATTGAATGTCTATATGTGCTAGGCATTGTGCCAGGCCAAAATAAGATAGCCTTTCCCAAAAGGATGTCAAACTGTGGGATAAATACAATGTTTTTAAAATATGCCAAATGCTCTAATGGGAATATGCCCCATGACTAATAGATGTGGGGTTTCATTAAATGGGTAGAGGAGCTGGGTGAATTAAACAGTATGTATATACCTAACACTACCATTTTAACTATGGTTTCTGGAAATCAAGACTATACTACAAGATAAGCAGAAGATAAGGTCTCGGTCAACCTCATTTGTGATCTGAGGGCGGGAGTAAGCCAAAACTGGAAGAAGGTAAAAATGACATCTGTGGTGAGTCTACAATGTGCCCAGGCATTTGGCTAATCACTTTCTACAGACTATCTCATTTAATCCCCCAACCCCAAACTATGACAGAGTTGTTTACAGTTGAGAAAACTGAGGTTCAGAGAAATAAACTAATTTACCCCAAATCAGAGCAATCATCCTAGTACAGACAGGATTCCAACCCTGTGGTCTGGCTCACAAACGTGTACAATGAGTCTCATCTACTTACTTCTTGCCTGGAAAAGCACGTCGAAAGTGCTTTCAGCAACTGGGGGGAAAGTGAGGAAGATCTGACTGCAGATTTAGACAAGTTGGCTAAGAAAAAGGGAGCAAGAACTAAGGGCAGATCATGACAAAATGATCCGAGAATTAAGTGGTCAAATTAGATTTAGTGTGGCACTTGTTTTTGGTTTTGGGTTTTTGTTTGTTTTACAAACTTCAACATGGCAGTGATCATGTGGTCAAGATCCTGACACCTAATTTTTAGCTGTAAGTTACTGCATGTCCAAGTAAAGCTTCTAATGGCTAAGGACATTTCAGAGGTTGAACACAGTTTTTTAAGTAAATGCACTCTGAAAAGTAAAGACCAAAGAATGGAGGATCAGAGGCTGCAAAACAAAGGTCTCTGCTTAAGGCATGTGCCTCTGCTTAGTCATTTCTTATGACCAATGGAACAACCAGGACTGAGGTATTATTCTAAGCCTGCAAAAGGGAAAACATTGTGACTTGGGGTAGGTGTTCTGCTGCATCTGGCTTGGTCCCAGATGGGATAATAAATTCAATATTCAGCAAATAGTGATTGCCTGAAATAGAGTGACTTTGCTCTGGAGTTCATTAGAAAATACTTCATCAAAGTTAGAAGGCTGGGATAGGATATGATTTAGCAAAAATGAAAGAGCAGTCAAGAATATAAGAATAGGAAGGATGAACAAGACAGATGGGGAAGACACTTTTTTTTAAGTTTGCCAGTTTTGCAAGATGAAAAAGTTCTGGAGATGGACATAGTGATGGTTGCCCAACAACATGAATACCCCTAACACCACTGAACTGTATACTTAAAAATGGTTAAGATGGCGGTGTTGTGTATATTTTACCACAATTAAAAAATAAATTTAAACTTTGCTTAGTTATTTAAAGATAAGTAGAACACGCACACATTTTTATTAAAAACATTTTTAAAAGTTTTTGTTTACTAGAAGCGGGGCGAGCTAATTGATGTTATTTTAAATGGCCTGTGGAAACAGTATTTGCAGCTTGTGAAGACTTCAGAATACCATGATATAATTTTAAGAAATTCTTAACATGCGTAGGCTTGTGTTATTTAGAGCAAATGTAGTTTTCAGGAATATGCAGATTTTTCAGTTCCACGCTCCAACTTCTTCAGGGATGGGATTACACTCAAGATCATGTCCATCAGAAAAGCAAACTACACAATTTATGACAATTATTGTCCTAAGCCTAGCCCACCCATTCGTGCTTGCGCCTCGAGCCCGCAGCGCCCACTAAACACTGGCTTCCCCCTAGTGAATGACACACTTTCCTCACGAAAAAGGTAGGACCTTCCTACACAATACGGGAACTATTTCATCTTCGACTGGGGAGGCCACTTTGGGTTCTGTTCCGACCGCTTCCCAGTCACCCGGCCTCCCTGAAGAAATTCTCCTCCCGAGGCTCCGAGATTTACGAGTGCAGCCACCACAGAACGCAGGCTGGAGGGGCCGGGCGGAGGCCGTCCAGATCTCGCGAGATACACGGCTGCGCGGGAGTTCTCGAGTCCGGCGTTCTGTGGTGGACTGCGCCGGACTCTGTGATGGGGCGCTTCCGCAAAGATGGCGGCCGCTGCGGCAAGAGGCGCTTGGCTGGCGGCCTGGGGCGGAAGACTGCGGAGTGGGATCGCTGCCGGTCGGCGAGCTTGGCCCGGCCCCGGCCCCTTGACCGCGGCAGTGGCCGGTGTGGCCCTGGCAGGCACAGGAGTGGCATGGTACCATGGCCGCATGAATGTCGTGGCACCCGAGGGCAGCCTCACCGTCTTAGCACAGGTACGGAACCTGTCCCTTTCGCCAGGCTAACCAAGCTCCTCCGTCCTCAGACTCCCGGTGGTGGAGCGGGCGGTCCCAGCTCCTCTTCCCAAGTCCAGGTAGGGGCACCGCTGCGGAAGACCCTGGACAGGTGGTAAGTGTTTCTTCCTCGACTCGGACCCCACCGCGCTCCCCGAGGGCATTCGAGGCCAGTGCAGGAGATTGAGCCTTCGCCTGGAAAATCCCGCGAAAGCCGAACACACGAAGCCCACGACAACAGATTTGCGGCGATGGGTGTGGGCGTGTCTTACTTCAACACTCTTAATTTGCGGATTTCTCGCTAAACGGTTTTGGTGAAGTGGTTCTCAGATCTGTAATTGGTGTGTGTCCAGTTTCCCCACCCGGACGTACCTTTGTTAACCTTTATAACTAAAGCCTTTACGACTGGTTCTTTGGTATGATGAAGTTGTCCTAATAGATGACTTTTTTTTATCATAAAAATGTCAATCATAAAAATTAGCCGGGTGATAATTTCCAGATTTTATGATCAGCTATAAGGACATGATTATAAACCTTAATGCTTCAGTGGACTATAAGCACTAAACAAAACACGTTTCTTTTAAAACTTCCATGTACTAAAGGTAAAAGTTACCTACTTAGATATAAAATTGTCAAGTAAAGTATTTGAAAATTTGAAAGAGTACTGCTTTTTAGATACCTTATGGACTTTTCATTTTAACAAGTTTTAGTGTGTGCATTGTTTTGAAAATTAGAAGCAGTGTTCTGTTTGTTAGGTTTACATTATACCTTTCTAATGAAAAACCCAAGGAACAATCAGATAACAAAGAGAGGAAAACAGGCCTTGAGAATTAAAGTTAAGCATTGACAAATGATATATTTACTTGTATTAAATTAAGGTGCCACATAGATAATACATGTAATAACTCTTTCCCATTCTCTTACCATTTCTGATCATAGGTGAAGGATCTGTCTTGTGGTATTTTATAGGATTTTCATTCTTCTGGTGCCAAGGATTCAAGTTATTCATCATTGGTTTCTCTCTTCTCTCAGCCTCTTAATTCATCCTGTTTAGGACCCTTTGGCTAATCATCCCAAGTATATCACATAATGTACCCTTCTTTAGAAACCATTAGTGCCTCATTCGGCCTCGGATAAAATCCACATTTAAAAATTTTGTCATTCAGAGCCTTTTGTAGTGACACTCCAACCTATCACAACTCATATATACCTTCCAATCAAAGTGATTCACCCAGAACTTGACTTCAGTTTTATCCCCTCAGCAATTTGTAGATTCTGATTTCAGTTAATCTGTCTCATTGTTTTTTTCTGGCCCACTTGTAGCCTACTTGTGTTTTAAATTCCTGACATGACATTAAAAACTTTACACCAGTATATTTGAATTCTCTCCAGCTCTCTCCCCTCCCCCAACCTGTAGTACTTTCAGCCTAGAAACCATTTTATTATCCATTGGTTGTTTTGGTGGTGGGGGGGGGTTTGTTTGTTTGTTTGTTTGTTTTTTGAGAGAGAGAGCAAGCATACATGAGCTGGGTGAAGGGGAGAAAGAGAATCTTAAGCAGACTCCATACCCAGCGAGGAGCCCTGGGCTCAGTCTCACTTACCTGAGATCAGGACGTGAGGCAACTCACTAGTCGATAGCTTGACTGACTGAGGCACCCCCCATTTTATTACCATTTTTTAACAAAGTCTTTTGACACAGCATCTGCTGTTGGACCAGTTCAAAACAGTGGTTCTCATCCTTCTACCACCATAGTAGACTTGAAGGTGACCATACATTCCTCTCAGCAACAGTGGCTTAGTACAGCAAGCATTGAGGGGCATATAGTTTGAAAACTCTACCACCACCTCGGCGATTCTGGTAATACTTCCCTAAAAGGAGGCCTGTTAATCCCTCTACCACAACCACCACTTTGGAGTCATGTGTGCATAGTTGAGAATCACTGACAGATAAATACCATCTCTTGATACAGGTTTATATATTGGTATAGTTATTTTACTTAGTATTGCAAGGTGGTAGAATCTTCCTGATACAGGTTTTTAATAATAGTAATAATGACCTTCATTTTCAGTCATCACACCAGGTCAGTTTTCCAGTAAAAATAGGGAATTTATGATCCTTGAATCCTACACTTTCATGGTTCCATTGTGACCAACAGCTTGCATTTGTGAGGATCAATCAGAAACTAAGAGTAGAAATCAAGGTCATAAAACAGCAAATAAATTAGAGTTTCCCTTCTTTCTTTCCCTCCCTCCACAGTTATTGAAGTGCCTACTCTCTGCCAGGCAGTATGCAAGGAGTGGAGATTCGAAATACAGTTCAAATGCTTATGGTTTAATGGGGGAGGGCAATTTTAATACAGGTTGGTAAATGCTGTGGTAAGGGTAAGTTCTGGGTTCTATGGGAACACAATGGAAGAACACCTAACAGTCTTGGTTTCCTGAAGTAATGATAGGTAAATAAACACCTATAGGATGATGGGGAGTTTGCTGGACAAAGAGAATCGGAAGAATATTACAAACAAAGTATATTGCAGAGTTCTGAAGATAAGAGTTTGACTCAGTAGAGTGTGAGCTGCAAAGGTGAGGTTCAAAACTGGGGATGAGTGGTGGCAAAGAATCATCAAGAAGTGCCCCTTAAGGGGCGCCTGGGTGGCTCAGTCCTTAAGCGTCTGCCTTCGGCTCAGGTCATGATCCCAGGATCCTGGGATCGAGCCCTGCATCGGGCTCCCTGCTCAGGAGGAAGCCTGCTTCTCCCTCTCCCACTCCCCCTACTTGTGTTCCCTCTCTCGCTGTGTGTCTCTCTGTCAAATAAATAAATAAATAAATCTTAAAAAAAAAAAAAAGTGCCCCTTAAGCCATATGACAGAAATTTTTATTTTGAGGATAACAGGGGGACATTGTAGGGGCTCTTAACCCTCCTATACCCCAAAAGATCCAGACATAGAATTCAGGGAGTCTGTGAACTTAAATAGAAAAAGATTACTTTCTTTTTTATTAACCTATAATTTACCATTTTCTTCAGTTATGAATTTTCTTCAGTTATGCCACTATATAATGTTATTTAATGCATAAAGAATTACAGATATTTCTGTATCACAAATTTAGCTTTGACCTTTCGAAAGAGTATCGCGACTTCAGTGAAGAGAATGAATTGAAAACTGGATGAGGGAGCTATTGTAATAATTCCAGAGAAAGATGATGTTGGCTAAATTAGTGGATAAATTTGAAAGACATTTAGAAGATAAGTTTGCAAAGAATCTTGAGTTGCAGATGTTATATAAAATATAATGATAGTGTTTTGCAACAAAACATTTTATCCTACAGATCCTTAGAGAATTTGCTTTGGAGCACATGAGCGTTTTAGTTACTTTTTTGTAAACTGCTTCTTCTGAAACACTTAAGAATATTTGAAAACCATTCTAAGATTTTACTGTTACCCCCTTTACAATATGATTTTAATTGATTCTGGCATAGTAAAATCAGATAAGAAATGTTGGAAGGGGAAAGACAAAAAGTATTATATTATTCCAATCCATTCTTCTATAAAAGGGTAGCTGCATTGTTCATAAATAGTGATTTAGGGGCACCTGGGTGGCTCAGTCAGTGAAGCGTCTGACTTTGGCTTGGATGGAGCCCCGTGTTGGGCTCCCTGCTCAGCTGGGAGTCTACTTCTCCCTCTCCTTCTGCGCCTCCCCTGCTAGTACGCTTGCTTGCTCGCTCTCAGTTTCTCTCTCAAATAAATAAAATCTTATAAAAAAAATATGTTTAAAAACATAAGGCTATTTCAGTGGTGAAAGCAGTTAGGAGATAGAGTTTTAGAGTTGGAATGGCAAAATTATTTTCTTCCTGCAGGTATTTCAGTAGCAAAAGTTTTAGAGCTATTATCGTATTTTGTTTTCACAAGCTAGAAATAATATATTGATAAACTGCAGCTGATGAAAACAAACAAATTTCCATATCACTAAGTAAATCTTCAGTGCCATGTCAGATCAGACTAACTATAAAGCTTTTTTGAACCATGGGTATTATAAATCATTGTAATAATAAGACCTGAAACTGGGGGGGGGAGAGGGGGAGTAAAGAAAAAGCTATAAAGCCAAAATAAAATGCATTATACTTCACAGTGGACAAAACAGTAATAGTATTTTATTTGTGTTATTTGTTAATTGTATCAGTGTTTCATTTATTCTCTAAATGTTTGTGTTTTTTACCTTATCTTAATTTTCAGATTATTTATGTGATATTGGATACTATATGTCTCCCAGACTTCATAATAGGATTTTTTTGGTTTGCTTTTAATGAAAAAGTTAATAATCATATTTAAAAAGTGAAATTATTGGGACTCCTGGTGGCTCAGTCTGTTGAGCGTCCAACTCTTGATTTCAGCTCAGGTCATGATCTCAGGGTTCTGAGATCAAACCCCTCACTGGTCTCCACACTCAGTGGGGAGTCTGCTGGAGATTCTCTCCCTGCCCCTCTACCACCACCCCCCCAACCCCGTGCATGCTCACATGCATGTGCTTTCTCTCTCTCTCTCTCAAATGAGTAAATAAATCTTTTTTAAAAAGTAAAATTAATTTTGTATAACCTAGTCTGTAAAACTGTATAAATGTTTATTCTAAATAAATTTAAGTATCATATACTTTCCTAGGTATTAGATTTCCTTTGATATGTTTATTTGTATAGATTTATAAATCTTTGAACTTTTCCCCAATAACATTTAATCAGTTTTTTCTTTCATAGGACTTATTACTCTCTGAAGTTATTTTATGTATTTGTTTATTTTGTCTTCTCCCACTAGAATGGTCTCTTGGTCTTTTTCATCTCTGTATATTTACAGTTATGTGATGGCATATAATAAATGTTTATTCAAAGAGTAAATGAATGAACTGCACATATAACAAAATGACCTTGTCTAACTTTTGTTTGATTGGCATTTATAGAAATATTAGACAAGCAGTATCCAGAAATGGTTAGAATCA